GGGAAGATAAATATTTTTTTTTCATATTAGATACTAGATGAGTTAGTTAATTGTGCCAGCCTGGCCGATAATCACATGTGGTGCTGGTTGAAAGGCGGAGGGATAAATGGGTGGTGAAGCCTCGCCTTTCTAGTTCTCGGGTCTCTTGTTTTGTGATGGTTGTATCGGGTGCAGCTGCCTTAGCAGTTCCCTGCTTCAGCTTGCAAGATGGACTTCCTACAAGACATCCCCAAGGAGAAGCTACATGGACCTATCCCGATGCAGCCCTGGGTGCTGGAGCAGCTGTGTGGAGACCCCTGCTAGTGCTGAGATGCTTGTAAGTTCACTGACTCAGCTTTCCTCCTGCAGTCGGCATCATTGCCTCTGTTTTGTGAGGTGGAGGACTTTGTGGATTGGTGTTGGGTTAATGGGTTAATGTTGGACTTGTGGGCTTGGGCAGCATTGGGTTGGGATGTTTTCGTGATGCACCTTTTCTTTACATAAAACTCTCTCTTATACATGAGTGGCTGTGGATTTGTTTATTGCTTGCATTTTTCTATTACTTGGGGGAAGATAAATATTTTTTTTCATATGAGATACTAGAGCTCCAGATAACACCTGACTCTCCTGTCAGATAAGGAACCTACTGAGCTGCCAAGTTGTGGTAGGGTGAGACAAGGGTTGAGAAGATGTACTTCTGACGCTATTATAGGACTGATGGGGGCCAACTCTCGAATGTTTTCCCAGCTACTACTAACCAGCTTGGAAACGTGTTTGCACATGCTAACCCCTTTGACTTGGCTGTCAACAATAACTCCTTGATGTAGGAATTATTACATCCATTTTATATGTAAAGTGGAAAGGGCTTCCTGAAAGTGGGCTGGTGACAGAGCGATAGAGCTAGGACACAAATCATCTTCAGATTCTGAACTCCAGCCCCCTTCTCGGCACTCAATTCCAGGTGACGTGCTCTGACCCTATCTTATAGGAATAGCTACCATGTAATTATTCATTTTCTCGATCTCGCATTCCCAAGAAAACCTTCTAATTTCCCAGCGAAGGAGGGTCTGAAGGAATAAATGGGAAGAAGAAATTAAAATCACCAAGACATTCTTTCTTAGAATTTCCTGAGTTCTTTCGGGGTCTTTTGGGATTTAAGGTAGCTTTCCCAGTAGGAACGATTCATGTACAATATTGAGGAACAAATCAATCAAACAACTGAATGTGACTGAGGGGTACAAGGAAACTACTAAAAGGCGAGATGATCCCTGGCTGAGTTCTGGTGCTTCGAAACCGCGGAAGAGGCTGCAGAGGGGGGCGGCAGGTCAGTCAGCTCCTGGATCTGAGGTAGCATATGGTCAAGAGCCAAAGAGACTGAAGGAAGAAGTCAAAGTTGCACTGAAGGTATTGGCAAAAAAGCAAGGCTCCAGGAATTCATGGAATACCAATTGAGATGTTGCAACACAGAGATGCAACACAGGAAACACTCACTCATCTGTGCCAAAAATTTGCATGACAGCTATTTTGTCAACTAACTAGAATAGATCCATATTTGTGCACATTCCGAAGAAAGATGATCCAATTGGACATGAAAGTTATGGAACAATGTCATTAATATCACATACAAGTAAAATTTTGCTGACAGTAATGAATAAATAGTCAGTATCTGAACAGGGAACTGCCTGAAAATCAGGCTGAATTCAGAAAAGGATGTGGAACAAGTGATATCATTGTTGACATCAGATAGATCTTTTTTTTTTTTTTTGGACATCAGATAGATCTTAGTGGAAAGCAAAGAATACCAGAATAATGTTAACTGTGTTTTTTTGACTATACGAAGGCATTCGACTATTTAGACCATAACAAACTATAGATAACATTGAGAAGAATGGATTTTCCAGCACAATTCATTGTGCACCTATGGAACAGGTACATAGACCAGGGGCAGTTGTTCGAACAAAACAAGGAGCTACTGTGTCATTTAAAATCAGGCAGGGTTGTTTCCTCTGACCATACTTGTTCAATTTATAGGCTGAGCAAATATTTCAAGAAGATTGAAAAGAACTCAGCATCAGAATTGGAGATTTATTAATAATCTTTGATATAAAAATAAGACAGCTTGAGAAAAGTCAAGACTTGAAGCCTTTATTGATAAAAATCCTCACACCTGACCCAATAAGCCACATCAAGATAATGTAGAAAACATTGAAATTGTCAAGGGTTTCCTTCTACTTGGATCCACAATCAATGTCCATGGACGCAGAGTCCAGAAAGCCAATGTCCAATTGCACTGGACAAATCTCTGCAAAAGACCTATTTAAAGTACTAAAAGGGAAAAATATCACTTTTAGGACTAACACCTTAGTCCTGACCCAATGGTTCTGACCCAAACTATGGTATTTTTCAATCACCTCATCTTCATGTGAAAACTAGACAATAAAATAGATTAGAGAAGAATTGATGTATTGGAGTTATGGTATTGCCAAAGAATATTAAATATACTATAGAATTCCCCGATAACAAATGAATCTGTATTGAAAGAAACACATCCAGAATGCTCCTTAGAAGCAAGGACGACAAAACTATGTCTCACTGTCTTTGATTATTAGGAGAAGGCAGTCCCTGGAGAAGAACATCGTGCTTGGTAAAGTAGAGGGTCAGCAGAAAGGAGGAAGACCCTCAATTAAACAGATTGACACAATGGCTGCAACGATGGGCTCAAACACATTAACTACTGAGGATAGTGCAGAACTAGGCTATATTTTGTTCAGTTTTACATAGGGCCACTGAGTCTGAACTACTTAACATCTAGCATAAACATTATATGAAAATCCCATATGTGGTAGTTATATAATCTGGTGTCAACTTGAGACTATTAAGAGTGAAGGGGTGGAGTTTAGCCTGTCAATCAGGTCGCAGCTTGATGACCTTATTTTACAGAGATAAATAGTTAGCTGGAGGTGGGATGCACACTCACTTCCTGCTAGACATTCCTGTTGATAAGCTATATGGAGCTATGCTGATGGCAGTCAGAGCCTTGGAGCTGGAGGAGCCACGTGGAGACCCATGCCAGCACTGAGATGCTTCCACCACCACTGGATCCACAATACTTTCCACCCACTGGCCCGTGATCTTCCTCTACTGAGCATCATTGCATGTGCTACATGAGTCTGAAGAATTTATAGACTGGTAATGGACTAATACCAGATTTATGGACTTGACCTGGTCTGGCTGGGATGTTTTCTTAATTTACAATTACTCTTTGCTATAAAGTTATCTTACACACACACACACACACACACACACACACACACCTAAAAGTCAACAACTGGCATCATTCAAGTAGTTCCTTGATAATGCAGCTCTCTTACTGTGTTCCTAGGTGACTTGCCTCTTCTCTAAATACACTTCTGTAAATATGATTCCCAAATCAACAAATTTGCAACTCCTAGGCTAGTACTGGAAATATTACAAATGGACACTTCTCAGAACAAGGAGGAGTGGAAAGGGTAGAGTAAGGAAGCAAATGCGTTGATCTGTTTCTAGAATACAGATAATTTATTACAGGTCAAAGCTAGCCTTGACTTGTATAATATCCTTTTCTCAACAGTGTTTTCAATTCTATACCATTGGCTAAACTAATGATACTGTCTCAAATGTGTAGTGATTATGCATTGGCCCACTAATCGCATTGGTCAGCAGTTTGAAGTCAGAGCCAACTCTGCAAGGAAAGAATGAGGCTCTCTGACTCCTGTAAAGATTTGCACACTCAAAAAAAAAAAGATTTGCCTACTCAGAAGACTCGCAGGGAAGTTCTCCCCTGCCCTATAGGGTCACTATGAGTCAGCACGGACTTGATGTCAGTGGAAGTGATGTCCCAGGGGGATGACCGATAATGTTCTCTAATACAAAGTGACAATCATGTCTCTGAAGTGATCCAGAGGCAAATATAAAGCATAGATATAGGAATGGACTTTGGGATTCCACTTAAGTCCAGCCACCACCTAAGAATAATGAGGGTTTTTTAAAAATCATTTTATTGGGGGCTCATACAACTCTTATCATAATCCATAAATACGTGAACTGTGTCAAGCACATTTGTACATTCGTTACCCTCATCATTCTCAAAACATTTGCTCTCCACTTGTGGTGACATAATTTTGTGTCAACTTGAAGATACGTATATAAAAGTGTAGGAGTGGAATCTAGTCTGTCAAATCCGGTCATAGCCTGATGTTGGCTCCAGGTGGGCATGGCCTTCTCATAAGGAGGGTCCTGGGAACCTCCCCTTCTCCCTCGGCCTTGACCTTCCTGCTGGCTGACAAACTCAACAGCTGCTGCAGCCCTGCTATGTTTTCTACTGACCTTGGAGCCACACGACTTAGCATGCACCGGCCTGTGACTTTCCTGCATTCTGCATCATTGCACGGGGCTGCGCGAATCTAAAGAGGGCCTTATGGACCAGTATTGGACTTATGGACTTACGATGGACTGGACTGGGATATTTCCTAGATATATACTAGCTCCTTGATATAGAGCTCTCTTCTACATACGTGAGTGTCACTGGATTTGTCTCTTTAGTCAACCCAGCCTAACACACGGCTGTAATCAATCCTGTGACATTCATCTTATCATGGTGGGGAGAGAGGAATAACCAGATAACCAGAGAGGTTAACTGGTCTTATAGAAGACAAAGACCCAATCAAAACTAGGTCTATGCACCCACAGTCTCTATGACACTCCTGCTCCTTTCTCCCCAAGGAGGGCACTTCTCAACATCTTTTCCTAACTGCCACTGGAAAACATCCAAAAGAAATGCCTTCTAAGAATGATGATGGCAACAAATGTACAAATGTGCTTGACATAATGGATGTATGTATGGATTGTGGTAAGAGTTGTATGAGCCCCCAATAAAATGATTAAAAAATAAAATGCCTTCTTTCTGAACAAAAATCCCATCATGAACTTTAAGAGAGGAAATCTTAGGGACATAGAGTCCATGTATGTTTTCCATACATTACCTGAGCTGAAAAGTCAATTAGTTTTGGAAGCAGGACTTTGCCACCTTCATCACTCTTCAGGAAATCCAGCAAACTGCCTGTGTGTAAAGTTAGAACCAGTTAGTGGAGTTCAAACACACAACGGACAAAACCCAATGAAAGAAGTCATCACCACTGCTCATTGCTGTCAAGTTGTCCTAACTAATATCAATCCCACTGTCAGGGTAAAACCACACTCCAGAGGGTTTTCAACAGCTAATTTGAGGAGAGTAGATCACCAGGTCTTTCTTTGGAGGCACCTCTGGGTAAACCTGAGTCTCCAACCTTTCAGTTAGATCCGAATATTGAACCATCTGCACTACTCTGAGGTAGGTGAGAGGACCTATCGAACTGATTAGCAGTATAGTACTGTGTGGCTACAAATGCTTTTCCCAAGGGTGGTCAAGGTCAGACCCCTCTAACCTGTTACCTTTGATCTCATGTGAAAAGTAGTGTGTGCTCCAGTTAGGGAAGGGAGCATTGGATACTACTTTTCTCCAACAGGTGTTTGAAAGCAATGACTTGTCAGGATGCTTTGTGGCTGAGACCTGATATACAAGGATAAGTCAAAAAGTTTTGCTACTCAGTTGCCAATCCACACATGCATGGATTTATTCCAAATGAAATATGTTTAAACATGCTTCTGCTATCAGTGGATGGCTACAAGCATGTTCTCTCAGTAAGACACATCTTTTTAGGGTGAAAGGGAGACACTTTTGGTTCCATGAAAAAAAATATTTTGAGAACAGAACCCATATAAAAATTTTAACAAAACTCAAGGGTGTATTTCTCCAAATCACTGAAGTTTGCTTCAAGTTTACAGGAATGCTCCCTAACAGAACACAATTTTTAGATGTATCAAGAATTTTGACGAAAGTTGGGAAGTCCACAAAGATGAGTCAAGAGAGGTAAGACTATCCACCTGAATGCATAAAGGTAACTTCAGTGAAGTCCAGAAACTGGATAAGATGACTAGGCTGTGATAGTCCCTCAAGTTGGGCTCTCGCCTGGTGACCGAGGCAGGTCCAGTTTCCAGCAAAGATCCTGGTCGCCGTGAGCTTTCACTTGCAGACTCTCTGGTCCTGTAACTACTTCCTCTTTGGGTTTGAGGAGCCATACTCTCATCTGCACGTGACTACAGGCCCTGGGTCCCCCAGGGTGCTCACCTTTAGCCATGTACTCTGTGATGATGTATATGGGCTCTTCCTTGGTGACCACAGCATAGAGTCGCACCAGTTTGTCATGCTGCAGCGTCTTCATGAGGTTTGCTTCTTCCATGAAGGCTTGCACCGACATGGTGCCGGGCTTCAAGGTTTTTACAGCCACTTTGGTGCTGTTGTTATAGTAACCTGGGGAGAAGAAAATGAAAAGGCAAGGCCTGCTTTATTATATTGAATATCATCAGAAAACCTCATTTGGTAGATACAACATTACGAGAAAAGTTGTAGATAGAAAAAAAGCAACATTATATAAATTTTACAGTCAGAGTATCAGAGGAAACTGGCAAAGGGTATATGAAAATTTTCTGAAATATCTTGACAACACTTCTGTAAACATCTGAAGTTATTTCAGACAATTTCAGATAATAATAATCAGATACATAAAAATGGTCTTAAAAGTCCATATACATTCCATCATGGAAACAAAAAAATATTCTTCTTATGAATGAGACATTCTCTATCCAAGACCAAAACAACAAAACAAATCCTAAACAACCAAAAAACTAAAACGAAACCCTAGATTCTGCATGATGATGTGCATGCATGCATGCTTTTCGCTTTCTCCAGTGGTGTTATTATGGATACTTTTATTTTTGTTTACCATAAAAATTAGAAAACCCAACAAGTTGCTACGGAATTGTTTCTAACTCACGCTGATGAGAATAGAATGCTGTCAAGTGAAATCACGAGACATTTCTGCCCAGGCATCTCTGTGTAGACCTCCCTATCGGCTTCCTCTACTTTTTTGCCTTTACTTGCCCCCAAATAATGCAAGTGCTGAGAAATGAAGTTTCCTCCAATCCTGATGGCATAATATTCATCATATACTCCAGTTTTTGGATGATTTATATTTCTCTAATTATGTATGACAGCTATCAAGAGGCAGACAAACAGAAAAAGAAAATACTGTGTTTGAAATCAGGAAAAGTATGTCTCAGAGTTGTAGCCTTTCACCATACTTATTTAATCTGTAAACTGAGCAAATAATTGGAGGCAATGGGCTATATAAAGAAAAAAAAACTCATAAAATTCAAATTGTAGGAAGACTTATTAACAACCTAAGATATATAGGTGACCATAACCCTGCTTATTGAAAGCAAAGACAACCCGAGGCATTCACTGAAGCAAAAAAAAAAAAGAGAGAGACAAACGCTATAGCCTTCAGTATGACTTATAGCTCAGTTTAAAGAAAACAAAACTCCTCACAACTGGGTCAATCAGCAACACCAGGATAAAGGGAGAAAAGGCTGAAGCTGTTAAGGAGTTCATTTTATTCGGCTCCATAGTCAAAGGTCAGGGAAGCAGGCGTCCTACAAGCGAATGACATACCGATTGGGTAAATCGACTGCAGAAGATTTCTTCAAGTGTTAGAGAAAGCGATGTGTCACCTCGAAGAGTAAAGTGTGCATGACCAAGCGATGGATGGGATGCTGAATGGCCTCCTTACATGTGAAAGTTGGACATGACTAATGGAGACTGGAGAAGAATACTGAATGTACCATGAATTGCCAGAAGAACAAACAAATCTGTATTAAAAGTAGTAAAGCCAGAATGTTCTTTAGAAGTGAAAAGGGCAAGACAGTCTCACGTAGTTTGTAGAATCAGCAAAAAGAGGAAAACTCTCATGAGCTAGACTGACAGAGCGGCCGAAACAACAGGCTGCAGGACTGTGGATGTGCCGCAGGACTGGGCAGTGTTTTCCTCTGTTGCTACAGTGGCTATCAGTTGGGGCTCACTAGACAGCACTTACAATGACATAAAACTATGGACGAGGGACTGTGGAGGAGGGAGGAAGAAAAACAAGTCGACGCTTTCCATGGGTAGGAAGAGAAGTTATGAGGAACTATGACAGCTATTAAAGACCTCTAACACTATGATAAGGCGTTTGAGGTGAATAATGAGTAAGACACATGTCCACCACAGTGTACGGGTGGCAGCGGTTTCTGTGGAATGATCTACAATACTGTAGGGCTGATGTTCTTGTGATCACAACAGGTGTGCTATTGATTCAGAACTTAAGATCGAATCCTACTTTATCAGGGCGTTCTCACCCGTTTTCATGTTTAATGATCCTAGTCATGAGATTTTGGTTATCAATATGGATGGAAAATGGTTTCATTTAAAATGTTTTTCAAGGTGGTAAAGACTTTCTAGTGGAGGGCCACTTTGCCACAGTTACAGAACGTCCCAAGGCCAGTGACGACTAGCTAGTTTGCTAAAATGTGCTTAGCTATTCCAGCTGAGTATGGCAAAACACATGGTGGTTTACCAAAAGACTGTAGATGGTTGAGTCTGGAGTTGGCTGGTAATTACATGTAATGCACTTGATTTGAAGAAGAATTTTTCAAGCACATTTGAATTCGAAATAAATATCCGTTCTTCTTTAAAGTTCCTTCACAGACCAAGATGTAAGAGGAAATAGCCTATTTAGCTCCACTGGGTAGACAGTCCCCTCAGAATATAATAATCAACAGAGGAAACTGTGTCATCCCAGTCATCTGTCAAGAGGATCACACAAGAGGAAACAGCTGCGGCAGAGACATCTCTTTCTTTTATCCCCACCCACCACTTCCCTCATCCAAGAGGGCCGTTCCTACTATTTGTTTACTATAGTCCCAGCCCCTCCTCCCCCCAAATCAGAACATGAAATGTTATGTTAGTCTATGAAATAATACCTTAAGCTTAAAAAAATGTATGAATGCCTTTTCAGGCTAAATACAAATAATTACAGAGGCTATCCATCTTAATGGGCTATTCTTTTTTCTATCAATGGGAAAAACTAGCCTTCTTAGCCCTTGGGAAATAAAAATTAACCTTTGGGGTTCAAAATGTCACCAACTTTGCTACTTGAAACGTTCTTGGATAGTTACAATGCAACACAAACATGCACGGGGTACCCTTTGACCATTAGTTTGTAAGATAACATCACTGATAGCTATTGTTTTTTATTTTATTCCCAGTATTCTTCTGTTAAATGCATTCAGCATGTGGAAGTTAGTTCAATAATTAAGGAGTCCCCTGGCCAAAAGCCAACCCCACAAAACAATAGAGCAAAAGATCCTAGGTCAAAATGCTCTTCTTAAAAAAAGGTCTTTTTCTTTCTCTCGCTCCCTTTCTTCCTTCAATGTAAGACTTGAAGGGTCCTATTCGTGGAGACGCATGTTTGTCAGAGTCGAACAGTGCTCTACAAGCTTTCCAATGCGGATTTTCTCTAAATAAATTGCCAAGTCTTTCTTCTGGGGAAACCCTGAGTGGACTTGAACCTCCAACCCAGGAAGTCCAGAAAGAGAAAAGAAAAATTAAAAGACAAATAACTATCCATATCAATATCCTAATAATTTTATCATACTATAATTTTGCAAGATGCTACTGCCATCTAGCCATTTTTGACTCAGAGTGACTCTGTTGGACAGAGTAGAACTGCCCCTGTGGCTTCCCTGGACTGTAATCTTTATGGGAGAGCAAAGCCCCGTCTTTCTCCCATGGAGTACCTGGTGATTTCAAACTGTTCATCTTGCCATTAGCAGCCCTACACATAACACCCTATGCTACCAGGACATTGAAAAAACAGAAAAGTTTACTTGAGATTCCTGTTTTACACAATTACATATACACCTAAGTCACATTTTCCTCACTTCTAAACCTCAGGTCTCTCAGAGACTACCCAGATCTACATGCAAATAAAAGTTATCTAAAATCAAAGTGCAAAGGCTTAGGATATAGCCCGGTAGACATCACAGGGGAAAGTGAGAAAAGGATGGGAGGAATTAATGTATCCAGAATTAGAAGCAACACGTGTTCTCAGTCCTCAAAGCACTAATGTGCTCGGATTGCAGGGGCACAGTTTCAAGGAAGTTTCAGTCATTCAGGATGGCTGTAGATTGGCTTTAGGGAGTCTTGATGGCACAGTGGTTAAGTGATAGGCTGCTAACTACAAGGTCAGCAGTTCAAAACCACCAGGTGCTTCACTGGCGGAAGATGAGGCTTTCTACTTTTCTAAACAGTTATTATCTGGGAAACCTCCAGGGATAGTTCGGCCTTGTCTTATGATTTTTTTTTTTAAGATTGGTTTGCTCAGGAGCACACCTCCACCTCCAGTCACTTTGTCATGAATGAGATAGGCAGGCAAATAGTACCACTGACCACGACTTTAAATACAATTATCCTCAAATTGATCACTTCCTGGGTCAGCCTTCAGCTATGTGAGTCTGAAGAGGGACTTACGGATGAGCATCAGACTTATGGACTTGAGTTGGACCAGGCTGGGATGCCTTCTTGCTATATATTTACATCTTGATAAAAGCTTATGAGTGTCACTGGATTTGTTTCTCCAGAAAACTCAGCCTAACACTTCAAAATAGATCTTGAAATGTCTTTTTTGACGAACGCGATGTCATTTTTCTTAGATCCATCATTCCTGGCATAGTAAACCATGTGATTTTTGGATTCAGAATGGCGAATACCAGTCCCTTTTACCTCATCTATTCCTGTGATAGGGGTTTTTATGCTTTTCATTTCTTTTTTTGACAATTTCCAATGTTCTTAGATTCATACAACATACATTCCAAATTCTGATTATTAATTGATGTTTGCAACTGTTTCTCCTCATTTTGAGTCATGCCCTATTAGCAAATGAAGATCCCCAAACTCCTGCAGGCATTACTCCATCCACATCATTATAGTTGACTTTACTTTGAGAAAGCAGGTCTTCCTGAATCATATTTTGATTGCCTTCCAGCCTGAAGGGTGCTTCTAGCACTATCTCTGGCACTGTTCTCCTTCTACTGGGGAGAGGTTCAGTAAGTGGCAATATTCTGGTCCTATCCATAAGGTTCTTTTTTTAAAATTTTTAAAAATTATTTAAAAAATGTTTTTAACTAGATGACCAAAACTTTTATTCCTCACCTTATTCCTTCTTCATAGTCTGTTCTTTGTCTGGAAGCTCTGCTGAAACCTGTTCACTTTGGGTGACCCTGCTGGTCTTTAAAATACCAGTGACATAGCTTCCAGTATCACAGCATCACACAAGACACCACAGTATGACAAACTGAGAGACAAATGCTAGAATGATTGGCTGAGCCAATGCAAATAGCGTGTGAAATATGAATAGAGGGCATTGGTCAGTTTGG